TTCCCACAGCCGGCCGGCCTCGCCTGATGCAATTTTGGACATTCCACTGTTTGATTTCACTGGGCAACTTTCTCCCTCTGACGATCCACATGGACTCTTGATGAATAAACCCTCTGACGATCCTTTTCGATGCCGACCATGTGGAAGTTGGCACAGACTCATGCTCGGGGGAGTTGTCAGCGAAGGGGGCCAGTTTGAATCCAGATTCTATGATATTCTATGATTCGACGTGTGAAAACCCATTTGGATTCAAACCTCTTCTGGTCCCAGGCCTACCCTCTACTTTTGAAACACCGGGACTGGCTGCCCGAAATGTCCCAAAATCCGCACCTGGATCCGTACCTGATGTTTCCTGCTGACGTCCGTGTCTCCAAACAGCTGATCTTGGAGGGTCTTGGAATAGGGTCTAGATGGGTCACCCGGGTCTGACTGGTGCTTAGCAGAGGAAAAAAAGGGGACTGGTGGCACCAGTCACGGCTCTTTTCCACATCTCAACCTCTCGTGTCCCACGTTTGCCTTCTCAGCTCCGATCCCAACATCTCCGTCCCGAAGCCTCAGCTCGGCCACTTCGTCGACCGGTGAGGTCTATGTGAATTCCGTGGAAGCGCTGGAGTTCCAAAGCGTGCTCAAGGACGGGAGAAGCCGAAAGCGACGTCGGCTTCGGGGAAGAGCTGGAAGGTCATGTGGGTGACGGAGGAATCGAACAACAGAACAGTGTCTGAAAACGAGATTCATGGGTGATATACTCCATGGCTTTTAGATGCTTTCAGATAGACCCTCATGGATCCATCTCCATCTTCGTCCCCCTCCGGTCTGGAGGCCTCCTCCGCCTCGGTGGGCCTTGCCTGCAGCGGCTGCGTGGCCAGCAACGACACGCAGGCGCCGAGCTTCGACGGAGCGAACAGCTTTCCGGCGCATGGCAGCAGTGTGAGCCGCCGGACCAATGTGGTGCTCGCCTTCAGCGAGGCGAGGGAGAAGCGAAGAGGATGAAGAGTGAGTGTCAAGATGGGCGGAAAGAGGAGAGAGAAAGGGGGCTCAGGGAGAGAAGGCTATTGGGTTGGAGGCCATTGCTACTAGGTTGGGCAGAGGGTTGAGAGATTTGAGCTTTGATTCGGTTCTCGGGGTGGGTGCGGGCAGTTGCTGGTGGGGGGAGGACATTCTTGGGTGGACGGGGAGGTGGAAAGGTTACTGCCTGGGCTTGGTGACAGCTTGGTGATGGGCGGATTTGGGAGATGAGGCTGTTCATGATGGCTGTCCCCAAAGACCTCCGGCAACCGAACGTCTTTGGATCACCCGAGATCCAAGCCGGACAGCCGCACTTGGCTGCGAATTCTTCCCACATGAAACAACTTTCAGTCCTACTCCCAAGAGAGGTTGAACAGCCCTATATCCTATCCTATCCCATATGTAGCACCAAAAAGGGCCCCAGTTCAGGTCTCAAAACACCTCTTTTGCCCAGTGGTCCTTTTGAAAGAAACTTCAGGCGATTCAGCTGGGCTATGGCGGCATCTTCCAGACACCTGACCGAGCTGCTGAGAACCTTCTTCTTTTCGGGTTTCCTTATCTTGTGAATCTGCTGAGGAATCGACACTCCCTGGAATCATCGATGGCTGCGTGGAAAACCTTTGGTCGACTCGGATTCACATGGATGAACATGGTGTATCCGAACCTCGTAGCCATGCCATCCACTCAATCATTCAATTATATAATGACAAACCAATAGGAATAATTGGACGAAATGGTTCTTATTCCACATGAGAACCACTTGACCCCAATCATTCGGGCATCTTTTGACTCTTCGTTCCGTCAGCAAGTCCTAAGGATTTGGGACTCCGGTCTAACTGCTTCACCGGTCTATGAAATCACCGTGGCCGATATTTACGCTGCCAATGCAGCGGCAGGTGCCGGAAACCACGGGAAGACGGGGAAGACGGATCTGGGGGTGGCAAAAAGGTACCCCGAGCAAGAACTTGCTCCTGGAAATTCGACCTCACAGATCCGATGCAAAACTCAGTCTTAATCAGCAGTGTTGAGGATCTCACGCTGTTGGGCGGGGTCTTTGAACACTTGGAATGAGGCTCAGCTGCCAGGTCTTTCTGCGATCTTTCTGCAGGAAGGGGTGAACATCTAAGACCTCAAAATCGATTGGAATTTGATGGATTTGGGCCGAGGGTTTTGGGGGGGGTGAGGGCTTTGCGTAGCCTCCAACATTTGGAGAAGTATTGCGTTGTTGCCCGATGGCCAAATTACGTATATATATATTCTATAATGTAATCATACAGTATATCTTAATAGTTAAATAGTATATATATACAAACTCAATACTTTGCCTGGTGTGACCTGTTGTGAGAAAGATGTCAGCCAGAACAAAGGGCATGAGTCCAAGCAATGCCAGCATGCTGATCATAGTGAGCACATTTGCACGATGCCCGCTTACATGCTCATCTCCGGCGCAGGGGGTAGCCTGGTCAGGGAGAACAAGGTCTACATCACTCCCGCAACTGGTCATGAATTCTTGAGACGAGTCAGGCATACCGATCTGCGTGACTAGTGACGCGCTGTTTCGCAGAAATCGACCAGGTCTAATCGACACACACCGTCGGACTGTCCTTTGCAGGACTTAGCCAAGTCTTTGGGATCGGCGTGCTCGCCCCTGACGAAAGATGCGAGACTGTCCCTGCAGAAGCCCCTTTTTCCATGGCTACCATGTCTCCAATGTGAGGATCCTGTTGCACTGTTTGTTGCACAACCCAATGTACAAAGTTGACTTAAAAGAAGAACAGCTACATAAAACCACTATTCGAAAGGTTTTTGCCATCCAACTGTTGTTGTTATCTTCATTAATCAACCCTCCTACATGAGTGCAGCTTGCTCACCTGCTCAGCCCAATCGCACCGACCCGACTCTGGGCATCGCCACCGACCCAGGTCGAAGCATCAATCCCAAGCAGCGGTAGGGCATTTTTGTTTCGCCTGAAGAACCCGGTTTTACGGATTGGTCCCCTGGACCAAAACCGTTCTTCGACCCTTCGACCCTTTTGTTTTGGTCGAACGGAAGGCGAGAAGGACCGTGGGACCGTGAGTGTCTCGTGGCGCCGGACTTGCCGCCAAGTCTCCGCGCGCCGAGGCGACCCTCTGCAACGTACCAGCCAGCTGTTTTCTCTTCACCAACACGCGCAGCTACTATGCACCCTGTCCGCTTTGGCCGGATGTGGGGCCTGGTGAGATAGGGTTTCAAAGTGATGGCGACACCGGAGCGGCCACGACCCTCACTAAGAAGACCCACTTCTGGCTTAATGAACACGGCTGGTCAGGGCCCTGAACAGTCCTGGAAGATTCTACATTGTTCCCACAGCTGTTGACGGACAAAGTCACATTTCTCCAGCTCCCTGCTGTGCCCTCATGCCGCATCATGCCCAAACAAGAATCGTTTGGCCGACTGGTCAAGCGCCCGTCCAAAATACGGAGAACCCATGGGAACCCTGCAACTCTGCAGCTCAAGGTTTCAAGCCTCAGAAGCTCAAGCTTTGGCCAATTTCTAGCTTAGAGACTTCAAGGGTGCCAAGATGATACTCGACCAATCGATTCTTTCTTCAGTGCAGAGTCCACTTGGACGGGATGGTCGCTTTTTCGCGTGGTCCACCTTTTCCCCGGCCACGTGGTAGGGTGTTTCACAGCTCAGATGGCAGTCCTGGAAGCTCCGGTCACCTGGCATTCTAGCACGATCCGCGACCCTCTGAAAGGAACGACTCCAATTTCGAGTTTCTGCCCACATGAGAGGACTCACCATTTACATCAATTGACGCATCCACGACGAAGTTACGTCCCATCTCCCTAGACTTCCGACCATTAGAGAACATGGTTGACCTGGTTTTGTGTACAATCCTGCTTCGGGATGACCCGCCTATGAATGGGCGACCGGAAGCCAGACGGGAATACCCCGCTCCCCTTCAGAGGTGGTGGCTCCAGAGGGCACCGTCTATGACCTGGCGGGGAACGTCCTGCCGGCCCTGAATACAGCAGGGACTTGGCAGGGACTCCCAGCTCTCTGGGTGTGAAGATTCGAGCTGAGTGCAGCTGGGGGGTGGGGTATGCAATATATGGCAAGGTAGTGGTTTTTGCAGGTATAGAGCTTGGAGTGGAAGAGCTTGCAAATCGCGCAGATGTGGAGGTGTTCTTGCTTGCTGTCAGCTGCAGGGACCCGCGAGTTTCAGGGTGCATGACTGGGTTCATGATGGGTCCATGTTTGGCACCCAATCTTCCACACCTTGGCGCTTGGCACCCGATCTTCTTGTCCACACTTTTGCCTGGCGAAGTGAAGAAAAGCTAACGACGAGGCGCATGGGAAACCCGCTTCCGTGAGGCAGTGGACGACGGTCAACGTCTTCACGGACGCCGATCCGCCGGAGGTCGCGATGAGCTCTCACGTGGAGGTGCCGGAAAGGGGGTTGATGGGGAGAAAACTAAGGGATCTAAAGGCGCAGGCTGCTGCGCTGTTTTGCCCTTAAGTTCACTTGGAGCGCTCAAAGATTTGGTTATTGGGAGGGTGCTATAGTTACTCTAAGTCACTATATTAGTATGAAGGGAAAGGGCTTACAGCTGTGTATTCCAATGAGTCGAGGGCCCCACAGATTTCGTCACCGGTGATGATGACATCAGCAAGGTGTTGTGTGGGGTATTGCTTGGGTCGGTTTTGGATGTTGGTGTGCAAGATTCGTTCTTGACATGATCGCCTTGGCCTGGGGCCGCGGCCTATCCCACCCACCCCTCCTTGATAGTTCTCTATGTCTTCGAAAAAGAAACATTCCTCCAGGTTTTTGTTGGGCAAAAGTGATCGAATCTTCTTGTCCCACACGAGAGGAATTTCTCTGTGGTCTGCGGGAATCCAACTCCTTCGTCCTGAACGGTTTGGTCTTTTTGGGTGGATCTGCGAAGCAACAGGGTAACTCCTTTCAGGCCATTCGATCAACATCCACTGACCCACAAAAATTCGCTGCACCGATGGCGGAGTGGGTGCACGTCGCCAGCCGTGCACGTCACTGTGAGCGACAGGTGATCGACAGCTTTGCACATGGCTTTGTGATCTTCACCGAGGCCTTTTTTGTGCACTTGAGGGAAGCGGTGGATGTTCTAGATGCTTAAAAAGGTAAAAATTGTTTTTTGGTGCATTTTGGACCCTAAACTTCCAGCGGCCAAGCTGAGAGCAGCCAATTCTTTTATATCCGGGCGAAAACTCAGGAGGACAAGATAGGTTGAGCGCCGTTCGCACTTCTTCGCACGTGCGAACGACCCGATTTTTTCGGGTCTCGAACACGCCCGGGGCCCTGATCAACCAAAGGTGGGTTGGTTTGGAGTCTGATCCACTCGGTTCGGTGGTTGTGGATGGTTTTGGGGTTTTGGGGTTTGGGGGATGTCAGGTCTCAACCTTCTGATGTGGGCCAGTCCTAGGGACTGTCAGGTCTACATGGTTACAGAATCGTTTCGACCTGTCTTTTTTTTGTTTAATATAGTGATTTGTTGTTTTCCCGAACTTGGTAGATCATGGTAAAATCCCCATTCTGGAGATTTTTTTTTGCATTTTCCAGGTTCCGCAAGCAAATCCAAGTAGCGCAAGATCCCCGTCAATCCTCATGTAGAGATCAACCCCATGTTTTCGTGCGCGGCGGAGGCATTTGATAGCACATCCTAACACCATGTTCTGTCATCCCCGAGTCACCCCTTCCAGCGGTTTCTTGAACAAAAAATGGCGCGCAAACATTGCACCCCAGAGCTCACAGAGCTGAACCGGTCGAGTTGGTCCCCGAGTTGGTTGAAAGATGGGAAGAGCGAGCTTTGGAGCCGAACGGTCGAGTCCAGCCGGAGAGGTGATCAAGCCACCTACGAAGTCACGAATTAAACTTGTATATCTTGTATCCGCAATGCAAAACATCCTTCAAGATCGAAGGGGGATATATCTCTTTTTTTTTCAGAGCTGCGGAGCTGTATCAACAGATTGATGCTTGGATGTAGTTCGCTCGTAGAGTTTCCTTCAGACTAACAAAGCAAGATTTCAATTGATTTCAATATTTTTCGATAAGTTGTCCCTTTGCCGCTATGCCATGCGATTTGGAGAGTCCGTGCCATTGGGGACACATGCGTGTGCAACTGCGGCTGCTTCTCGCTGGTGAGCTGCGTGTCGTTGGTGGTAAAGACCCAGAGGCAAATCGAAACTCCCTGCAAATTGCTGGACATCCCATTCTTCAGAAGAGATCATCAATTACATTTCTAAACATTATCAAAGGCAAAAAGGTGGATAGGTGCTCCGTGCTAAACCAGCTAGGTGCCACCGGGCAGTCCACCATCCACCCAACCGGAGGACGTATCGACGTATGTCTCCGTATTGGTTAAAACCTGCTCCTCCAGACCCTCGCTTCGCCGAAGGCTTCGGGTGTCCAGTGTTCTGGTCGCAGGATGTGTCCTTTAGTGGAGCAACGGATCTGGAGTTGCTCGATTGTGGTACAGACGCCCGGACGAACGAGCAGCGTCAGGGAGGTGTCGCAAGGCCAGCAGGGTCAGCGAGTTGGGGGATCAGGGGTAAGCTGGGGGGGGTAAGGTCAGTAAGGTCGGTTGGGCCAAAGGGTTTTAGGCCTAATTAGTGGCCCATGTAGGCCACCTCAAGGGTTTGGGGAATGGAATCCAATCAATTCGCCGGTCTCGGAGGGTGAAGCCTCCTCCAGATCGGTCTGATGAGGGGGAAACCCTCCCTCGGCTTTTCACGGCGAAGTGCTCCGGAACCTCACCTTGGGTCACCCCAAAGAGCTGGTCTTGAGAATGGTCGACTGGACTCCTGGGGACACTACTAAACAACAGAACTAAGTGGCCCTGTTCGCCACGAACGAGTCGGCAGCTCACCCAAACCTGTACACTTTCTCCGACACGGACGGCTTGCGAGGTCCCTGCGACTCCAAGTCCCCTTGTCACTTGACGGGCAGGCAGAGCCTGTACAAAACCGTGAGGGTCCTGAGTACAGCTCCTGTGACATGCACCAACTTCAGTGTGTGATTGCAATCTGCAAGAAAACTTAAGATTGCCTGCTGATTATCAATTTTGGTTGTTGTGCCGTGCCCATGAGGTTATTGCAGAGAGATGGATGATATAAACTAAGCATGCCTTTCTCTTCTACATGTTTTTGGCTGCCTCGTTCCCTGTGTCGTTTCTAAACATGTGTCCAATTCTTTTTTTCTGCGCAAAAGGTTTGCGGTTGCCTTAGACCATCCTCTGAAAGTCGTGAAGCACCTTCAAGACCCGCCTTCTCCGCACAAACCGTGGACGGAACGAGGAGGCTCAGTCGACCATTCCACTGGTCCAAGGACTTCGATTGCTCCAGCACCAGCATCTTGACGGGCGGCAGCAAGACCACGACCTTGACTCCTTTTGTGGACGGCGTCACGGATTTGGCAACCATTCGAGCGCAGAAGCAGGAGACTGCGGCGAGTTCGATGGAGTTCGTCCCCCTTAATGCGACGGTGTTGGGCGGAAGGGGGGGTGGTTCGTGCTAGTGGAAGAGTCAGACACGACGGGTGGGTGGGCTTCACTTTGGGCGCCCTTTTGGAATGCCTTTTTGCCTGTTCGGAGAGTGGGCGCGGGGCAGCGCAGGGGTCATCGAGATGACTCACCGGTCCAAGCAGATGAACGTCATCTCAACCTGCCCTCCGCGATGGCCCGGTGTTTTCCCAGTGGAGCAGGTTTTTCAGGCATGTTGCGTTCAAGACGACGTTCAGGAAATTAGTTATCCAGTTACAGTTATATACATGATATTCTATGATGCATATTATATACTATATATACGGGTGATTATGATATGAAAAGGACATCAACTACCGCGCAGAAAGAACTTTCTCCCCCAACATTTTTTCTCCATGCAGGGAGTCCCTGAAACTCCGGCCCAAAACCTGCGCCATGGATGGAGCTGAAGTACAATCCTCACTGAGCCTTCCTGGACCGATCCATTGGGGCACCATTTCAGTGTGGTACCGAGTGGAAGAGACCTGCACGTTGAGACCAGCTTTGGGAACCATTACTTTGGGGCGGGTGATCACATGTCAACGTCATGTTCGATCTCGTGGGGTTGCCAGGTATGTCAGTCGTACGTTCGATCACGGCACCCCAGTCTTTGAGCCACCCACTTGAAATGCCTTGTTCAGCGTGTGCATGTCACTCCTGCGGACTTCATGCACACTCCGTGACATCATGGTTGGAACATGCCCCCTTGGGATTGACCATGTTCTCTCACCTCCCACAACAGGTAGTGGTGTGGTGGTTTTCCATGGAACCGCGACGTCTTGCACCGCGCAGAGAAAAACACCACTCCGGTCAGACCGGTCGAAGCTGCCTGTGGTCTAAGCTGGGAGGACTTTGGATTGCTGGAATTCCGCTACGAGCTGCCTCCGGTCTCCCCTCGGCGCTTTCAGCTTCGTGTGCCCGTGGATTATGTCACCGATACCGCCAACCCGACTGGCCTCACGGGGCCCAGCAGCATCTATGAGATCACATTCGATGTGGGGATGCCCTATGGACAGGAAGTCCTCCCTGTGGCTTGTTGGACATCTAGGGCGGCCTGGTGGATGGGAAAATGGTTTTGGAATTGAATCAGATCTATGGAAGGAATCAGTTCTATATATATATATATAGATTTGAACTTGTGATCATCCAACAAAACAAAAGTGTGTGAAGAGAGTCTATACACTTACTTACTTGGAAAGATCAGGGAGGTGCCAAGGGCTCAAAAAAGGTAGGTCAGGTGATGTTTTTTGGTACACTTACTTACTTGACTTATATAAGTTGGAATCACAAAAAGCATGTCCCAAAGGCCGACCGTTTTTGGCGGCGGGGGCGGCGAGGGCGAGGGCACACGGGTAACGCAGCGGGTAACGCAGCGGTTGATGCACCACCCGGACATCATCGGTTCACGACCGAACCCTGACATGACCTGTCTAGGACTAGCATCTTTGCAGTTGCAGTTTGGAGTATTTTGGGGTTGGTTTTTTCAGGGGCCTTTCTGGAGACGATGCAAGTTCCCATCATGGTCGGCCAATTCGTCGGTGTGTTCCCTCAGCTCTCAGCGGACGATAAAGAGCTGAGCCGCCGGTCGTCTGAGCCGTTGATAGAGCTGCTGGTCGTCCGAGCTGCTTCGGAGACGGAGATCGATAGTGCATGTGATGCTGTCTGGTCGAGTGGTCACTGTTGACCAAGCAAGTCACTTTGGAGCCGAGGATCGTAACTTCAAAGATTCTACCCTAGAAGTCCTCACTTTGACTCTCGACTCCTGATGAGATTTCACCTCCCCAAGCGCCCAAGCGTGCCGTTGAGTTGGTCGGCTAAGCCCACGCTTCTTTTTTTAAGGCTATGCCACCTGGAAGTCCAGTTCGATCGACTATTCTGCCCCCAGTAAAGCAAAGGAAGTCCCCAAATCAGATACCTAGTCAGACCATTCTTGTTAGAGTCTTTGGCTCTCAGCCCTGGGATTCCAACCACCATTGTTTTAATGGTCTTTACCAAAGAATCATGGTCTTACCAAGGGTTTTAGACTACAAAACAAGGTCAACCATTCTTTTTCATGGTCTAAGAAGGCTATGGCCAGGGATGCTCTCACCATTCCCTGCAGATTGATGCACCCAAAGAGGCTCGGTTGGGGAGGTCCTTCACAAATACTGCAGCTCCTCCCAGAGGCCTCCCATGGGATTCTTTTTGAGGAACCAACCTCCCCCACCAAACCATGGTGGTATGGTCAACTTTAGCTTATTGTGCTCTTTACCTCTCTTCACACCGCCCAGTACAAGACCAAGGGTCTATCTTTTTGTAAAACGTGTTTGTTTATTTTTCTCGCGCCCGCGAATGGCGGGTTAGGTCAGCCGGTTGACCTTCTCGCTTCTCCCTGCAGGGTTCACAAGGGGTTTTGGGACCGCCATGGAGAGCGAGAACCAGCAGAAGCAACTTGCACAAATGGAACATCCAGGCATCCAGGTACCAGCAGTTCCATTGCAAACACGGTGCCGAGTTCCGAACACCCCGAGTTCCGGAAAACCTGCCGCTCCACGGCCCACGGCTTCGGATGGATGGGACCAGCTTAAGCAAGCACCCGTTTGGAGGATCCAGGTGTTTGGGGGGATTCTTTGCTTCGCCCGGATCAGGTGACCTCGGGCACTCAGCTGTTTCTGGCCAGCCATTGCAACAGCACCGAGACAGAGACATACTTCTGGGGTTATAGCCCTGGGGTATCATCTCCCGTGGTGACGCTGCAGAGCAACAGCGGAAGGCGAGGCTTGGGGTTTGTGGATGTTATCTCTTCAAGATGTCCTTGCAGAAGCCATGTCCCTTTGTGTGGATATTAATGCCAGGATCTAGTCTATTTTCACTCGTTCTCAGAATCCTGAGGGGGAAGACCTCTAGATTTGGACGGCTGCAGAGGAGCCCGGTAGGAGACAAGTGTGTATGATTCTTTCTGGTTGCACAATAGGTTTGAAAAGATGATCAACCTTATTTTTTGAACCTTCGACCTTTGTCTGGAGATTTGTGTTCCAGCACGAGTGACCGATATTTTGAAATTTTCATCTCCCACCCTGTAGCGTGGTCCGGATCGAAAGCAATTGGCCCGTCACGTCAGGAGGCCGGTCTCCGAATCAGGTCGCTTACGTTGTCTCTCTCTCTCTCTTTCTTCATTTGGTCCCAAACGGTGTCTCCAGTTTGTTCCCGGTTTACCTGTAGAGCCATCGTAAAGAAGAACATCACGCACTTGGGAACATGGCCAACCTCAGAACATCATCCACTGGTCTCAATCTCAGATGGGATAGACCCAATTAATCTATGTCCTATTTCGGGAAAAAACAACAGCCCTTCAACTCATTTGCCAGAACGCATGCACCTATTTTCATGGGAACAGATACTTCCAAACGGTGGAGAGGAGCAAGCAGCAAGCAAGCACCGCATGATCTCCACTCACGGCACCGCATGATCTCACGGAAGTGGTCTCTACAGCACCGCCTGAAAAAAGAAAGACTTCTCCAAGCATAGGGAGTGGAGAATCCCATCTACATCAAGCCACCTGAAGAAAGACAGCTTCTCAGCTTCTCCAAGCAGAGGGAACTGGAAGCAGAGAATCCCATCTACATCAAGTTGCCTCCTGCAGTTACTCCTTCTTGGCGAACTTCAACACAGCAGATCTCGCGGCGGGCGTCCACTATGAGGCGCGAGGGTCTATGGCAGGCACCGGACCCAAAACAAACATAGTAATCCTGGAGTGGATACAATATGGGAAAACAAAGACAACATCTAGGAAACTGGTCATGCTTTTTGGATTGGTTCATATTCGATCTACTCCAGGATGGGTGTGAGTGGACTGGCCCCCCCCTCCTCTTTAAAGGCTCCAATCATACTTGGGTCTTGGCCCAAAAAGCAAAGGCTCCGATGCTCCGGTGGGTCCCGATGCTTCGCTACCCAAGAGATCACACCCTGCAGGTCAGTGAACGACCTAGCTTATGAAATAAGCTGGCAGTTGGTCATACAAACACACTACAAACATGAGTGTGTTTTTTCAGATTTATCAGGATCAGGTTTGACCCGGTCTTTGGCAGGTCAGAGTCAGTGAACGACCTCATTTGGACCTGGTCATACAAAACCCCCACGATCAGGTTTTCAGGTTTGGACCAGCTAGCCTGTGGGTGATGGGACCAGAAATGGGGTCCGACCCAAAACACAGGAGTTGATCAAACGAGGTCACACCAGAAAATACCACTGCGAACCACGAGGTTTTCAGGACCAGGAGAGTCCGGTCCTGGGTCCGGTCCTGGACCCTGGCAACGGGACAGGTGGACATGTCCACGCTCGACTGAGGTCTGCCTTGACGTGGATGGTCCTGGACCTCTTCATCGACCAGGTCCCACGGGACTTCAACTCTTCGTCAGCCACCCGCCCAATGAAGCAGAACAGGGACCGGCAAAGCCGGTTTCAAGGGGAAGTGGGCATTTTCAGAAATCCACGTCGATGTATTCGGAGTGTGAGTTCCAGGCAACCCGTGGGCGGTCAACCCGAGTCCTGGTCAGAGAGAGCTGTCAGGACCCTCCAAGTCGGCACCTCCAAGTCGGCAGCTCTCTTGGTGTCTTATATAACAAGATATAACAAGTAGATGCACTGAGCGGAAGCATCTGTCTTCCAATTCTTAGGGATTGCATCGATGGCAGCCTCAAAAAGCAACTTTTTGGGTTTGACCTTTTTCTGCATGTACATTACTTTTTAAAACGACCTTTACATTTTGAACGTAAATTAGGCATGAACATGTTGTCTGCTTCATGCAGCTCTGAAAAGAGTGCGGAAAAGCAGGAGGCTTTGCCACAGCATTTGGCCGTTTTGGGTGACTCATTTGGTTCTGTGGCTTTTCCTAGTGACGCGCACGATGCCATGCGTTATTATTTTGATTTTCTTTTTGTGGGATCAAATAACAGAGATTGGCCTCCCAAAAAGGCCGCAGTGCAATTGAAGGTTTCACATGGTTTCACTATTGCAGATGGTTATGGCCAGTTATGGCCCTAATGGCATGGTGTGGTTCTTTCAGGTCGACGAGGTGGCTTCTGCCTGTTCGTTTGTGCTTGTTGTTCTGCTGATGCCAGCTCTACACCTTGTGGGAGCCGCTAACATGCCTGTTGCATGCCTCAGTTTTGGGGTCGTCGGGTATTTTGATTGAGCTGTTCCCGAACAGAACCAAGCACACGCTCGTCCCGTAAGTGAGGACCTGAAAGCTTTTCGACCGGTGTTCCTCACCCTTTGCACCGGTGTTCCTCTGCGTTCCTACTCGATGCGAGTGACCGGTAGGTTGCACGTCACCTATAACTTCTCGTTCACCCAAACCCTCTGTAAAGGTTGGCTGCTGGTTCTTAATCCATGGGTTGGCAAGAGAATGATGGACCGATAACATCACTAGGTGCAGAGGGCGGTGCAAATTCACAATCAGTGCTTTGTCAGTGAACCCGGAAACAGACCAAGCACCATGCTGTCTTGGTGTCCTGGCTAGACTACCCTACTATAGGCACTACACTACTTGGGGATCGCCAGCCAGGACACCCAGACAGGATGGTCCAGGGATATATGATCTATTTGTGGGTGCTTGCTGATTAGGTGGCCCCATATTGTGTGTATGTCTTCAAAAAGACAGATATTTGATACCCAGACAGGTCCAAGGGATAACTGCAGGGCCTTTTCTTCGGTTTGACCCACGCAGGTCCTGTGACTGCAGTGGCGCCCACGACTGTGACGCAAGACCTGGGCAGGAGAGGTTCCATGTGAGACACCAGTAGAAACCAGGAGAAACCTCGATGCCGCTCGATGCCACGACTTCGCCCAGTCAACGTCAGTCGACATCAACGCCCAGTCGACATAGAACTCCCGGAGAAGCGATCGCACGACGCACCAGACATTTCCGGAGACTTCGAAGCATCCAAACTGCGTTGAAGAGCCAGAAGCGCTCACTTGTTCCGTAGGACTGTGATCTCTTCACCTGGTTCCGTAGGACTGTGATTGTGACCTGCCCCACTGTCTGCTCCACCAGCACCTATATGTGCCTTGGCACCTGAGAGGCGCTTGTTATCCGTTTGGCGACTCGAGGATTGAGCTCTTGGAAGGGGTGATGGCCCAAAAAAAGACATCCGGTGAAAGATGTTTGCTGGAGTCTTTTCCTGGAAGTTTTTGTGGGATTGGGCTGGATGGTTGTAGGGTCCACGGACTGTCTGAGAATGTACCGATTCGCCCCTTGAGGGCCTCGACTTCACATCATCTCAGCTCCAAGACCGAGCTCAATACTTGGAGCTTCTATGAGCTTTTGAGAGATTTTCAACCGCTTAGTTGCTTCAACTTCTGTTGGAACCACCATTTGGTTTCTGCCTGAACCCGACTTCGTTGGTACCCGAGCGGAACATGATCCGTTCCCAAACACATCATACAACTGGTGCGAGGAGCCGAACACGTCGTCGGTTCTCCCACCGCTTGCTTGGTCGGCGTGGCGTCCGAGCCCACCGAATGTGAGGTATTTGGGTATTGACTGCAGCTCGGCATCGGTCGGAGCGTTGGTTTCGTGGCCGACTCAACTCAGCTCTGAAAGAGAGGCTCCGGGAGCCCCCAGCGGTCCAGCCAATTTTAGAACGTTTGGCTGGGTGCCCCTACATTTTTTTCAGGAACTTCCTTTACTTCAGTGGGGCCAAAGGTGGTCCACTTGTGGACGAAGTCAGCGGAGAGTCCCGTCCCGTTGGTCGCCCGGTTTTGATCCACCGCCGTTCCTAATTTGGGAGCGGTTTCGTTTCGCCCCTTTTGCAGTGAGCGGGGCGGTAGGAACTGCTGGTGTTCCATTTCTTGTTTGGATTTTCACCTCAGGATCGGTTCCTTAGTCTCCTCTCGTCATGTTCAGTGGTCAGCCAGGGTCCTTTTGACTCATTTGTCCCACATTACCATACCCAACAGGTTAGTTTGAGTCATTTTGGTGGAGCTGGTCATACCAAAGCACCCAGGTTTGACCGGGTCTTTGGTCATAGAACCCCCACGGACGTTTCCAGGACCAGAGACTAGCTGCTGGGTCAGACGGGACTGGTTTTCTTGAACCTGGATGACCTCTATTTTGGATCACCAACCACCCCAGATCGGGTCCCAACTATCCAAACGCTCAGGTCATGTTTCATCCGGTGCACCGATCCCCCTCGCCTTCCCCGTCTCGGTCGATCTCAGCGCCACGGCCACGGTGCGGCGCGGTCCGCAGGTGAAGAGATCTCGTCCCCGGGCGTTGTCCCGGAGACGCCGCCCTTCCGCACCCGCTCGGCACCGCTGCGCTCCACGGGGACCTCAGGCGGCCGCCACGGTGACGAGTGACGAGAGGCTGTTCATGCCTGTTCGTCGTTCTCATGTACTGCTTGTCGGATCTCCCATGCTATTTAGAGAAACAATAGAACTGCAGATTCCAACAGTTTCTATGTTTTTTTTCCGGCCAAAAGATGATGGTGAGTTGGTCAATTCGACCACGCTTGGCCTTGGGGGAAGCCTTTGCCTTTGCTTTAGGGGGAACCCCAACCAGTGGTCTTTGGGTCAAAGGGCACGTGAATCAAGTTCCATGGGACACCTGACTACATCTAAGACCTGCAAATCTGTGAGGTGTAAGGCCTTGATTGTTCCTTTCACCACTGTCTAGGACGAACTGTCAACACACACCTGCAGAGCCTGAGTCGTGTCAGGAGAGTTTTCCTTGACTTTTGATGCTGCAAACCTGACTGCTGGCGTCTACTACCATCTTTGTCTCGACGTGGCCACACGGTCTCTGAACACACATCGAAGTGCTATAGTTCTAAGAGCAGGCTTTGGGAAACGAAGTCGAATTCGACGATCTTCAGCTTCAGTGAAATCAGATCTCATCTACCCCTTTGTCAGACCATTCTTTTTGGTGGTTCGACTCTCAGGGGCAAGACATTCGACCGGCACCGATCTTTGGAACACCGGTTCACGAGGTCAAACCTGACCCGAACGGTTCAGGTTTGTTTCGCTCGCTGGAGAGCGAACAACAACTCGTTTTCTACCTGACTGAGCACCGTTTTGGTTCCTCCGTATTCAGGTAGGGAGGTGTCCCCGAAACTCTCGCCCCTGGCGTCGAGTCGATTCCGAACCTTCCAACGGGTCGGCGGTTCGGTCGATCCGAGCCAGAGGTGTGGAAGTTGCTCACCACCATGGGGGGTCCGCATCGAATCCTGCGCCTTCCGCCTCCCATGACGCATCCGTCCATGAAAGGACACCGGGCGATGAGCCTTCGCATCCATAGGATGAATCAGGAGACCTCCGAGTTGGACAGCATCGACCACAATCGACCCGGTGGAACCCTACTCCCCTGATTTTCCTCAAATGCTGGGTCGTCACATGAGGTCGCACAGAAGAGGTCGCCCTATCCACTAAAAAGAGTGGAGCCCCCACATGCCCCTCTTCCATGAAGAAAAACGGTGCCCTTGGGATCTCAGGATGGCTCGAGCCAGACTCGTTATTACGGAGACTCGCGCCACACCGTCTACATCTCTGCCGTCTCGCAGCGCAAATCGGGGGATTCGGCGCGGTGCGTGCGTGCGGATGAAGAGTATATTTTTCCCGCAGAATTCGGCCTAGGAAACGAAAGCTAAGAATAGAATGTGACTTGAGTGATGCGTGTTCAGGGATATTTATTGGAGACTTTTCTTTCAACAGCATACCTGGGATACAGTCTTTTGGCGACACTATTGTGCAGTGGGCCTGGGCAATGCATACATATTATTTCATTTTATTTCTAAGATTCTCTAAGTCATTTTGTCTCGCAGCAGGTGTCTTTCCATTGCCTATAGTAAGCCAGGAGTGAAGAGTTCCCCCCCACGAAACATCTACCCTGCGAGTTAAAGACTATAAAAAGAGAATGGGCCTGACGATTGACCCGGATGTTCAGGGTGCTTTCCTGACACCTTCGGCCCCGAAGTCTGGTCCAGTTCCTGGACTTCCAGCGCAGGTGCTAGATGCTTCTATATATAGGGTCGATGAAATCGATTGGCCTTATTGCGTTTGGGTCCGTGATCTCGACTCGTCTGATTGGCCGTCTCCAGCGGTGAACGTGACCGGTCCGGTCCGGGACCGCTTTTGAGAGTCAAAGAAAGAATGGGCTCAGTCAACTCAGAGTCATCAGGACTGATTTGGGGAAGTTTCTTTGCACATGAGGCAAATCTTGTCGACTTCGACTTCCAACTCATGAGGTCGTGTGGGAAGACCTGGACCAAGCCCTGGATGCCCCCCAACACCCCAATGAATTAGGCTCCACGCATCGTTCGACCGCTCCGCCGCTCCGCTGAGGTGGCAGGGCTTCGAAGTCCTCGGATCCGCTGGTCGCTGACAGCGCCGCTGAGCGTGGCCTGCTTTGCGCGGCCCCAGGTGGGCGAGCGAATGGGGGGGGCGAGCGAGCCTAGACCGGGGGGGGCGAGCGAGCTCAGACTGAAACAGAGAACATAAAAAAACAAAGAACCAAGAGTTTGGTCGTTTGGGTGTCTGTCTCAATTGTCTCCCCTTTTGAAATCTAAGGTCTTGGGTGGGCCGTTGGCGAAGCGTTTTTCGATTCCTGGCGAGCCTGATGCATTCATGCGCTTCTGGGCTCTGGTGCGAATGATGCATTCCTCTGCCAAGTTGCCAAGTTGCCAAGTGAACGGGGGGTCGGGGGGTCATTGGAGGGTGCGTCGTTTTGCACTCAGGGGAAGCAAGCATACCTCTTCAGGGTTCTTTTTTCACCCGCCACTCTCCCGCCGGTCGAACATGAACAGCATCGATGTGCCGCGGATTTCTGTGGATTTCCAGGAGGCCATGGGATGGTGGCCGGAGAATGACACGGAGGCGCCAAGGGGGGTGATCGTGTTCTTCCTTTAGGGTTACAGAATGACACGGTGGAGTTTCTCAGCCGGGCCGGGTGGACTGTTGGGGGTTACAGTCGGACGGTGGAGAGAAACTCAGCCTGGGAATCCAGTGTGACTAATAGACCTGAAGTCTGGAATTACTGGGGTGGTCACCAAAATGGTCTGACTTGACTTGTAGGGTCATCTGTGCAGCTTCTTTGGGTCAGGGTTCCAAACGGTGCTGTTTTCCCCAGCCTTTCGGATCTCTATATTTACCATGTGGGTAAATCAAATCCAAAGCATAGGTTTGGGTCCAATCCCTCCATAGATTCGGGTTTAGGGATGCGTCTGGGAACAAGAAGGGGAGATTTGAGAATTGGCGGCACTCAAGAAATCCTCCAATGAGATGGTCTGAGATGGTTCTCAAGGGATCATCTATATATATATATATAGCCTTTGTGACTCATGGGCATCCTCTCAAGTGCGATCCCTACCAACAAATCTGAAATCTTTGATCCGATATCTGAGCTTAGGTCCTTAGTATTGGTGTGGGAACCGGATCCTTGGGGTATCGGGATATCGTTCAAATTTGTCCATACGAGTCTAAGATCTTGGAGAAACAAACGCAGATTCGGTGAAGAAAACAGTCCTTGTTGCGGGGAAAAAGGTTGGCTGCCAGAGGGGTGTTCGAGACATGGTTGAATCAACCGATGCACACGTGACATAGCTGTTATTGGATGGGGAAGTGTGGGCAAGCAACCCAAAAGTGAGTGTTTGCTCTTCTTGGGTGTGACAGTTGCACTTTTAAGAGGGCCTGACATGTGTCTAGCCCAGCAGTTGAAGACATCTTTCGGGGAGAATTGAAGCTTTTGATCGAATCCTGCCATCTAACAAATGGTTGTTGTTCCAATATGGCACTTGAGATCCTTTACATAGGAAATGGCTGGGACTGGGGAAACATCCATTTCTTTCTAGATGGAGGGGCTCTCAATGGGGTTGAGATGCTGTGCTTTGCGGGTCGCTGAAACTGCCTTGACAGGAAGAATTGATGGTGGGAGTGCAAAACTTTACCAAGAGCCTTGGCCACGGAGCTGAGGGATTTTGTGGGCTCCGCCGGTCGAGTGGTTCACCACTCTTGCGCCGGTCGAGTGGCCTGCTTCCAAACTGGGTGCGTTCGATCGGCAGAACTGGGCGGACTCCGCCGTTCAGAAAGCATCGCATGAGTTTTCCCCCCCCTTAGCTGGTTCCAAAGTTCTCAACCACGGCTGCTGGGTGTAAGAATTCTGAACGTACACGTCCGCAAAGAGAGGACTATAGTGACTAGAGGAGAGAACTCACTGGACAGTCCCTGGACCTCAGGACCTCAGAACGGATAGACGCTCCAGGGACGCTCAGCCGTTTCCTCAGTCATCCCTTCTTCCAGCCTGTCTCAATCCAAATGAGTGGAGTCTCTGCCTGGATGGGTCAAAACCTGAGCCCTAAGTCGTCCACCATGGGTAGACTTCTCAGGTAGGTCAACTGGTTGTGGTGCCATGACCATGACGATTAGCCACATAGGGAAGTGACAGATCTCTCTTTTCAGCGGACTGGCTCGCCCCAAAGGGGCTTGCAAGAACCTATCTATCGTCGGCCGTTTCAAAGACAGAAGAACATACGACGTGGAATGCGTTTGTGTTTGTTGTGCTTGTCGTTGTCGTCGTTGTCTTTTGAAACACATCGGAGTCCCACTGTCTAGCAGTCCCTTTTTCCAGCCCGGTTCCATGCTCCACACTGGTTTTGCGTGTCTTTACTAAGCGAAGGATCGTTCGTCCAGAGCTGACCTCGCGAGCCTGCGACATCGCATCTGGACATCGAACGAAGTCAATTCGTCTATAGCGGTGATGGTTTTACATCATCCATGTGCCCGAACTGGATGAATCCCCTCGCATGGGGAAGAGGTGTGTGTGTTTTTTCCCTCAAAATCACTGGGAGAGCGCAGTGAGCAGCCCCAACTTCGATTTCCAAGCATTCCAAGGAACTACGTGAATCAGCTGCACTGGTGTAACGAGCTCACCACGGCCTACCTGGCCACCAGCTGCGACACCGCCGTGGCCGACGGCTACAGCAACGCCCTGTGGTCGGAACGCACCCAGTCCCAGTCGCCACTCGGTCGAGTGGGCGAGAGTCCTCGTGCGAGACCGTGGCGTTCACACCCGGACACCGACTTGTCTGGGACTGGGATAGGACTGCCAGGAGTTGCTGTAATTGGTCCATGTATAGGCATCTTTGCATACATTGGTCCCATCTGCAGATCCATGGAGTATTTGAGATCCGGTCCAGGCCCCTTGGCGATTGCTCCACTTCCGGTCTCCAAAAACGAGGTTTCACCATTTTGGAAGATGTTGGAGGTTTCAAGTTGGTGGTTTGCGAGGTTCTTGGTACCTTGCGAACCTAGTTTCCTGGATCCGACCCCATTCTGTTCCGTCCCCCAAAACCACCCCTCCCCCACAGCTGGCGCCCCGGGCGTGATCCGCCGCACCGGACGTGGCGGAGCGGATCATGGGAGGTTCTCGGGGACGGACCACCTGGTCGTGTGGCCGGACGTGAGCTTCGTGGACGAGGAGCGCAACGAGACGGAGTCCAGCGAGGCCAGATGCGCAAAGAGGGAGGTTAGTCCTTGGCTGATCTTTGGTTGCTGTTTCTCTGGCCTACTAGGGGCCGGCCTATAGGCTTTCTGTGGATTCTTGATCTGAGTTTACAATCTTGGATCCCCGTCATGAGTGGGAACATGTGGGACCCTGACACCACAAACATCGAAACTGCTTGTGAACCCCCCCTATGCATGTACAGATTGGTGGAGAACGGTGAAGAAAATCCGCCACGTTCGAACATGATCTGTTTTTGACCACCCCATCCGATGCGGAGAACACCAGGTTGGTTACCGCAACGATGCGGCCTGCGCGCATGCGGCGACGGAGCGTGGCTATGCGTGGCCTGGAATGCAGGGATTTGGGGGACCAAGGAAGCCCGAATTCGCAAGGACATGGGACTGGCAGATTGGCTTGCTCTCCTGCACATGAACATCACTGGGTCCATGGTCTTTCGGGGGTGGTTGAGAAGGTGTCAATGTCAATGTAGGCCTATACTGTATATCCTCTACATGGAGGCTCATCTCCAGTTCGATGTTGGACATTTTCCTACCCCCCTTGTCAACGAAGGGGCGGGTAGAGCCTGTATCAATTTTCCACCATTTTCTGGAAGTACAACCATTCTGGAGTAGAGAGAAGTTGAACCAATCAGACACATGACCAGGTTCTTATCGTTTTTGGAGGTTTTAGACTTTCTATCTGCTCCAGATGACTAGACTTTCGCGTGCTAAGTTGGACCATCTGAGGAGTTGGACCATACTCGCATCCTCTGGGTATGCCTCCAGCATGGTGAGCCCTTTGGACACATATACCAGGGCCCCCTCTTCAGGGTTGTCTGATTTTCGGGGTGTCAAGACATCTGCCCGACCCTCCAACCCCCCGGAACAGCTCGAGAGCTGAGCTACACCAAAACGACCTGGTCCCGGTGTTGGCGGTTCGGGCCACGGCGGTTCGGGCTGAGGTACTGGACGCGAAGAGCTTCCGACAACACTTGTCTCTTGTTTTCGGCTCATGAGCTCGACTTCAGAGCGGTGAGTTCGGAGTCGGGCCACCGCTGGGACGTGGGGGAGGCGTGGGAGGTGGGCCGGCCATTTCGTCGGCGCTTTTGGGAGTCCTAGGAGTCCTGGGAGGCTTCCAATCTTCAAGAGTGAGGCAGGAATTAGATGGGCAGATCTTAGAGAGAGGAAACCACCTGGCCAAGGAGGAGGCCATGGCCAGTCAGTGATTTTGTTGCAGCAAGAAGCAGTAAAGCTCCTGTACTTTCACTGCAAACCTTGTGACAAGCAGTCATATACAACATAATATATTGTATTTAAGTTAATATGTATAAACAGTTTCTAAAGTTCATCCAAAGTCCCACTTCATTGCACATAGTTCACAAAAAATAAAGTTCCACTTCCAGTCGACCTGTCACTACTTCCAGTCGAACTGTTTGCGTCATCTTTGCGCCGTTCATGATCAGCTTGCGGGGCGATGCTCCTCAAGTTCATGTCCAACTTGTTCACCTCCAGGAGACCGCAAATGTGTTGTGTTGCGGCCATGAACATCTACATCCTACCCTTCAAAGGCAGTCTTAAAAAAACTTGACCTGGTTTTAGTATGTTTTAGTGTAGATTATCCTCAAGTAACACTATGATTGTTCGGGATTCAGGCTATTCAACCATGGCCGGTGGACCTGACGACGTTGAGGCTGGTTCTTGACGGAGTCAGCTCCTGCCTATGCCAGCTTCAGTGAGGGATACACTTCGGGAATGGTGGGTGTCCAGCTGTGGCTCTTGCGCTTAGATACCCGGCCTTTGCTACAAGGCCGGAAGTGAACAAATGCTGAACACAGATGAAATGCCTAGAGTCTACTAGAGCCCTTGTAAGACACCCCGAATCACTTCTGTTTGAGGCTAGTTTGTTGACAGGCCTGGGGGCTCGGATATATAGATGGGTGGAACATGCGAACGAGGCTCAGGCCAGCCTGGTGCGACCGTGTTGGTCGTTGATTCTCCCGTCATGTCACGAAACACATGGCCCTGTCGACACAAAGATTGCCCAACTTGAGATCGCTGATTGGAACCAAACAGGTTGCTTTCCTTCTAGACTCCATATCTATCCCAGTCAAGTTGAAAAAAGCACGGAAAGCAAAAGAAACAGAACTTCCGGCCCTGAAGCCAATGCAACCTGGGTCAAGGTTCGGTCGAGACGAGAACTACGTCCGTCTGCCGCGTTTTGGGCGGCAGACGGGGATGAAGTCTATAGGTGAAGTGGGGCATTTCGGCACCTACAAGAACGAAGTCTTCGAAGGGCATGTTCACTGTTCATTTCTTTTTTGGTGTCCGGAGAGCAGAGTTGGACCACTTCATGGGTGGAGGACGTGACCATGGAGAGCGTGTGGACGAAACCCATGGAAAGCCCAATCAATACACCAAGCCAACCAAGCAACGTGAAACAAGCGACACAGCAGCAGAATGAGTCTAATATACTCTAGCCGCTACCTTCTGATTGGGTACTACCCAGCAGCAGAAAGACAAAGGACCCCCACCGATCTCTCCAATCCTTGAGCCTTCCCAACGGTGCGGACCACGACGAGCGGAGCGGGGGAGAACGTAGGTCAGTACTACACCTTGTGCATTGACCTGGATGGCTATCAGACCATCTCCAGCGTGGCCACCACCCTACTCAGCGTTTACGTCTCTCCCGTGCAAGCTGTGAGCACCACCACTGTATGGTACCTGGCATGTTTGATGAGTGGGAGCGGGGGTTGTTGGGCCGAAAAATGGCACACACCCACGTGCGCCATGCAAAAGGCTGGATGGCGCCCAAGCAAAAGCTGCATGCGGGATGCGACCCTTCAGAAGGCCTTGTTCCTTTTGGGAAAGCGACCCGCGAAGTAAGCTGGAGGTCCAACCAAAACACTGCGAAGACTGTGTTCCGTCTGTCATGAAGCTCGACTGTCCTGGGAAGATCATTGTCCTGATGTCCTTTCTGTTGAAAAGCGTTGGTCGTTCCAAGAAGCTGAGTCACATTGGGACGGTCCCGGCTTTCACTCGTTCGTTGGGATTGGAATCTGGGTCAGATCGGGACAACCACCGGACTCCTTCAGGTCGACTTGGAGGAACTTTTTGCTTATCGGAACAAGCAGATGATGTGTGTGAGGTGCGAAGGTTCGGCTTTTACATACATACATTATACAGAGACCGTGATAGACCTCTTTCTCTCTACAAATATATTATATATATTTTATATATGAAATATAAATACATATCACATTGTTTTTCAGCGTGACGGTGCAAGGACCCAAGTTGTATCCAACGTAGCCGTCACATGGTATGCAGACACGTCGAGTAGAGATGCTTACTGTAACACATCGAAAACACCATGAACACACTGTCCTGATCCGTCCTGGCCATCCACTGGTGCTGGACCCAACTCCACAGGGTCCCTTTTGAAACAAGAGCCTATGAATGTCCTCCAAATCTGTTCTGTGAAGTAGGTCCAGGTTTTGTCCAATGGGACTTGATAGATCTGGAGCTCAGATCGGCCGGATTTTTTCTTCGTGTTTCCTCCACTTTCTTTGAGGAACGGCACCTTAGGTGCAAAACACCTGCGGATATCATGTATACAATGTAAACGGTTCATGAACAAAGCCATATCAAGCCCTCCATATGTGTCCAGGTGTTGCAATCCAAGTGGGGAAGTTGGATGAATCAAGAGTCAACCTTCGTCCAAACTTGAAGGCCCCCATCCGTCGCCCAAACGACCCACCTGCTTTGCAGGAACGACCAGTTTCTCCAACGACCAGTTTCTCCCGGGGAATCCGCTCATCGAACGATTTGCTAAGGCAGGCCTTGAATCAAAACATTTCACTGGAATGCTCCAACTGCACGAGCTCCACCAAGCTGACGCTGCTCGTTTGACCGCAAGGACATCACACCAGACTGGCTGGAAGGAGGGGGTGACAAGAGACACGAGGTAGATATGGTTAAGTTCCCCCCTGTAAAAGAAAAGACATATAATATTACATTATTTTGCCGTAAGGATGATGTAAGATGTATACGATGCTTTTCTTTGCCCTTACGTGTGGTCCCCTGGGCCCCTACCAGAGGTGATGGCTCCTCATGTGCCTTCGGGGTTCCCCCACCAAGAGTCAACGCCAGCGCGCAGCAGTAACTGGGCCCCGGTAGGGCGACCTCCGCCTCCTTCACATCATCACATCATCCTTTCGGGAATTTCCAAAGGGGGAAAGGAACTTGAGATCCCTTGTTCCGGACCATGACGAAGGGTGTTCTTTTCCTCCGGACTGAGAGGAGCTGTAGTTGGAATGGGCAGACGTGCCCCCGATTTAAACATGCTGTATACCAGGACCTTCAAAGTGACCCTTTGATATCCCAGGATGAGGTCACTTGGGGTCTGTACAAGGTCACTTAGAGACTCCAAAGAGGTCTGTATAAATATGACGTTTAGCCCCAATGGTCGCCCTTTTGGGGGGGAGGAGGTTGGGATGCGTTACGGAGGTGTTGTCGATTCTCAGGCGGAGCTTTCCGCCCAACGAGCGACGTGCAACGACCGGAACGCTGGACCGGACCCGCGACCGCGTCGTGGCCCGGGGGGAGACGTGAGGGACGCTTCGATTCGGAGGGATTCCTGATGAAATCTCATGGCTGTAACTTTCCTGATCGTCACTTTCAGTGAGGTCTCAGGCACTTTCAGTCCCTTTCCTACCTTGAAATCTTCTGAAAGTGACTGAGACCTCACTTCTGTCAACCTTTCGGGACCCGCAGAAGTATACAAGTGCTTGACCTCCGTGAGGTTGAGGCTCCACGCCCCCCTTGCCCGGAAAGGGGAGCGGATGATCCGATGTGCCGGGGGCCTGTCCGAGGTTATCCGTGAAGTGCGACGGGACCATGGTGGTGGGCGAAATCCCCGGAGAGCAGACCTTGGTGACGTCTGAGCCCCAGGGCTTGCTGAGCGCGCGTGAGGCTTTGGCCAGGTGGACTGTCAGGTTACAGTCTTTTTGGAACTTCCGGCATGGCGGTGGAGGTGGAAGATGGCCCCCCTGGATGACCATTTTGCGAAAATAAACCGGTCGGTGGTCAGTTGTCCACTTCCATATGTCCACTTCCATATGAATGACTACTGAGTGTAACACGGATATATGTTGAAACAAGACCCGAAGAAACGTCTGCGAGGACTCGCCCCGTCGAGGATTCACCTAGCTGTTTCATACTGAATTGTTCGAGTAAAGAAGACATCCATGTTAACATGTTCTGTTTCACAGATACAACAAGTCGTTGGTGGAACATCCGAAGCCAGTTGAATCTCCCGCCAGCCCAACCACCGAACGTCACAGATATCACAGAGGTAGTTAGAGTGCTAGGGAGCTCCTGGCCTTCCGTTCGACCCTTTTTAAAACATGACCTGGCTTTTATGTCCCTTTATAGATGTGTACAATCCTGAGTAGAGCGTTGGTTGTTTGGTAACCATGTAAAACATATCTAACATGACTGGCGGCTGGTTGGAATTTGGAGTCCTGGGAATTGAAACCAAAAGATCCAGGTGCTCTGTAAGGCCCTTTTGCCTTCCTAAGGACTCTCGACTCCAATGGAGATGAGGGGATGTGGACAGCTATCGTTCCTGAGCTGAGTTGTGAGAGGCTTTCTTCGAAACAGAGGTTCTATCTTTCGGTGCGACATGGTTTTCACCACCAACCAGCGAATGACACTCCACTTGGATTGAACAACCTGATTCTGGAAGGCAGTTCGAACCTGAGGACATCGCTCAGAGTGAAGAAACTCGATTGGGCCAATTTGCTGATTTGTTGAGGAAAACAGTTCTTCGGCCAAACAGCCCTTCTCCCTTCCTAAAGACTCACTATATAGTCCGATGGTGATTCGGATCTGTGTGGAAGATTGTCTGAAAAAGGCCGGCCCCAATGGTTTTTCATCATCGACGACGGTTTGTCAGCCCGATGTGCCAAGACCGTAGGGCTGAAAACCACATCCCTTCGTTGGGGGAAGTGGCCCATCATCCAATGATCATCCACTGATATCCACTGTATCAACAGGGTCCTAGATGCTTCAATGGCCTCCAATCGTTCTTTATTCCCAAGAAAGGTGATATTTTTTCTGCTGTTCTTGCTTTCCAATTATATAGACCGCACCACATGCTTGGGCGTAGGATTTGGTTCTCCCAGCGTGTCTCGCACAGTCTTGTTGCCGCACCCCTTTTTAGCGCAATGACTCACATATATGGGTGTGTATTTGCAATAGGAGACCCCCAAACCAATGAGTTTTGGTCTATTTCCCTCCTTCGAATCTTTGGGAGGTCTCATGTCTCCCAATTTTTTTAAAATACAGACTCAGACCCATATCGACGCGTCTGGAAGGTAGATGCCAAGACCCTTGCGGAGGGCAAGCACTATCGAGTGTCTCGCCTTAATGAACGGCCTTCAATCAAAAGACCGACGGTCGACCACACGGGTAGCGTAAGGGAGCTCAGCCCCGTCGTTCGTTTCGTGCTTGGGTACAAGGTACCACTCACAGCCACTTCGGGAGCCCGGCCTGATAGTGGAGTAGGAGTCGGTAAAATGAGCCAAAACGGACGTTCCGGGGCGGATGCAGCAGCGCTCTCGTGCGGACCGTTGATCATAACTTGCCAAAATCTGCAAGAACTATATAATGGCAGGAAGACCTGCTGTGTGTTTCCATGGCTCATGCAATCTAATTACGCCTGGATCCTGATGGCCTCATATGGCACACGGTGCACACGGTCGGGTTCACCATGGTTCACCCAGGGTCAGCGAGCATCCGCGAGCCGATGCGGAATCTTGGAGGACTTCTCGCAAGCTCCAGTGTACCCAGACCATCCATGGGAATGGACTACTTACCTACATCGGGTCGGGGTCATTTTCATGGGGTATATGATTATAAATGTATAATTACGAACGCCCCCGGAAAATAAGACGACCAGGGTGCGTGACAGTTTTTCCTCGAAGATCTCGGCTCAAACGTGGGATTGGATGGTCCCTTGCAGAGCGTGCGGTCTCCTAACCGGGGAGGCCAACCAGCTTTGCACCTACTGCCGAGTGAGGAACCGCTTCTGGGCTGTTGCAGACGATCTTCCGGCAGAGCTCAGGTCGTGGGGTGTGACCACTCTCAGGATCTGGACAGGTATTTTGCAGGAAGAGATCGACAAGCACCAGGAGAGTCAACAGACTCAGGCAGACGCCCAGAAGACTGTTCGACCAAAGTCCGGGAGCCCTGGAGTGCCGGAGACAGCTCCTGTTGCGGGGAGCCAGCCCGTGAAGAAGGAGGAGACGAAGACTTTGCCCGAGGAGACTCCTAAGACGGGGAGTGAAGAGGAGAAAAAAGATTTGCCCGAAGAGAAGGTTGACAAGAGTTGGATAGCCGCCAAGAAGGAAGAAGACATCCATCAATCTCCCAAGCACGGGGAGAGAGGCTTTGGAGAGGACGAAGGAAGAATTCTAGTTCATCAAAAGCCCATCCAGTAGAGAAGCAGAAGAGGCGCAGAGGAGAGAGTGAGGCGACCACTTGCCAGACCCTCAGGGCGAGCTTGGCAAGGTCCGATCGAAGCGTGGAAGACTAATCCACGATACTTCGGTGAAAACAAAGGAGCAAAGAAGCATGAAAGGCACATCTACAGGTCGCAAGGCGATCAGTGAGAGTCAAAGAAGGAATGCCACCCCAGGCCTGCAGCGGATTTGAGGAGGCCTCCTGCACGGGGAGGACCAGTACGTCGTCGTCCAGCTCTTCGTGGAGAAGGAGAAGCTGGTGAGGAAGAGAGGAGAGAAGAGAGGGAAGGAGTGCGACTTGCAGAAGTTGGCGCGAAGTTTGAAGACGGTGAGAAAGTAAAATGCCACGAAGTACCCTTGGAAGTGCTGCGGAGGAGGCTGCCAGTGTCCATCGAAGGGGTATACTGGGGCGCCCGAACCTCGCTAGCTGGCCTCATCAAGAACGTCCACACCCGTTCAGTCAAGGACGTGGAACTGGAGGTGACACCTCAAGGGACCAGCGAGGAGTCGTTGCTGAAGTGGGCCTCAGGACATCGGGGTCAGAAGCTCAGGGTTCACATGTGCGGAGACGAGTGTCCAGAGAAGCTGGAGGCGGAAGACTTCGTACATGGAACCTTGATTCAGAAGAGGTCAGGCGAGGATCCGCCATGGATGTCCAACCTCATCGACGAAGGACCGAAGACAGGAGGAGCAGCGTCAGGAGATCTCCTAAGCGGGGAGAAAGAGGAAGAAGTCCGAAGAGACAGAAAGCGGTCGAGAGAGGCCGAAAAGAGAGGAAGATCAACAGAAAAGGAGAAGAAGAAGAATAGGAAGAGGAGCGAAGAGAAGGCAAAGAGTCCCACAAAGGGAAAGGAGAGGATCGACCTGAAGGCTGGAGCACGAAAAGAGTTGAGTGCGGCCTTTGGAGCAACAGGCCTCGATCCAGACCCCAAGTATCGTCGCAGGTTTGCATCCAAGGCTCAGAAGAAGACCAAGAAGAAGCGCAAGGACTTGTCGTCGGGGGGGACTACGAGCAGCCGCAGCTCCTCCACGTCCAAATCAGTGGAGGTCTTCGAGGAGCAGCAGAAGGTCCGCAGGTCAAGCTCAAGATCCCTGAGGGTGTTAAGTTGGAGGTGGCCAGGTTCCTATGCCTGGTTCCATTGGCCAAACTTGATTTTGGGTTGCAGGTAGCGTCAGAGGTTACGGCAAGTGATGCATCGACCACAGGGGGTGGCCTTACGGTGAGCACTGGGTTGACTGGGTTTGGCCAGGCAGCGCTGGGGGGTTCGATCAGGGGGGATGTGGCAGAGCCAGATGATCTTCATGGGGTCCTGACCATAGGACTCTTCGATTGGGGCGCTCCGGGTTGCGGCAGATGCCTGTGGGTTGGCAGTCATTGGCCACATCAGCGTAGAAGTGCGTAAAGAAGCCAGCCGGGTCTTGGAGAGTCGCTTTCCGTCCACGTGGTTCGTCGAGGGAGGTGTTGACGCGGTCGACGAGGAAGAGGTGCATCGATGGGCTTGCAAGTACTCCCAGGCCGCACTTGTGTTGATCAGAGCAGGCCCCCCGTGCCAGGGGGTCAGTGGCTTGAATGCAGATCGCCGAGGAGCACTCAAGGATCATCGCAGCTCTTTGTTCGTTCGCGTGGACCGAATTCGGGCTTTAGTCAAGGAGAAATTCCCCTGGGCTCAAGTCCGCTACCTGGCCGAGAGCGTGGCAAGCATGGATAGTCAAGATAGGAAGGTCATGTCTGAATCGTTGGGGATTGGCCTAATAGCATTGATGCTGGTGGCGTGTCCCTTGCTAGGAGGCCTAGACTCTATTGGTGCGATTGGGAACTTCGGGGAGGTCCAAACGGGTCGCCTTGGGAGCATGGGAAGGAGTTCGTGACTCTAGTCTTCGCAAGGTGGAGCTCAGCGCAGAGGTGGATGAAAAGGCCTATACTTGGAGAGTGGATGCTCCAAAGTCTCGTCCGAGCCATTCCCAACTTCTACCACAGCACGGCCAAGAGAGTATCGTGGGAGGCGACCAGCGGGCCTCGACAAATTAGACCAGGAGGAACGGCAGGCATGGCAGGACGATGAACATCGTTTCCCACCATATCAATATCAGAGAAAGCTCATGGTAAGAGATAGCAAGGGCCTATATCGTCTTCCAAGCGTGCAGGAACGAGAGGTCATCATGGGTTGACTATGCGCTATCATCGACTTCGTGCAAGTGTTCCAGCAAAGCTGTGGAAATGGCGCACAGTGATGGGGTGGCGCTGGAGCGGCTCTCCTGAGCACATCAATGTGCTCGAGATGAGGGCTGTGTTGGCGAGCCTTCGATAGAATAGGCCCTTCCCCAAAGAGTCAGGGTGGCAGGATCACTTCTTGTCGCACTATATAGAGCATCTATGGGAGATGGGCGAAGGACGCGCCCTGGCGTGTGATACGGTCGCAGCTGTCCAGGACCTTTACCCTTTCCTTCGCGGACACCTTCCTGGAGCTTGGAGACTGTTGAAGACATGGAGCTCGAATGAACTTCCAAACCGGGCTCCGCCCTTGCCACTTGAGGCCCTGCGTGCAATGTCAGGTCAAGCACTGTTCGCTAACCAGCCTCTCTTTGCGTTGTCTCTGCTACTTGGGTTCCATGGACTCCTTCGCGCCGGGGAGTTGTTGGGGATTCGCAAGCAGCATGTGGTGCAAGCAGGCCCTCGGTCACCTGCTGTCATCTCACTTGGATTAACGAAGAGTGGCAAGAGAGCGGGAGCTTCCGAGAGTGTCACCATACGAGAGGAGGAAACCCTTCGTCGTTTGTGGCAATGGCTGATGACACCAGACTCTCCGACCTTGCTGTGTGGTACTGCACACTCCTGGCGAAAGGCTTTCAATGATTGCCTCTCGTCTTGTCACCTTGATTTTCGCCCCTACAGTCTTCGTCGTGGCGGAGCCACGATGTATTTTGGTAGACACGGTTCGCTGGATCGTCTCCTGGTTCAGGGGAGATGGGCATCCAGTAAAACTGCCAGAATATATATCAACGAAGGACTAGCAGTTCTAGCTGAACTCCGAATTGCTTTTAATCGAACGGCACAAGCATACCAACGTCAGTTTAGGAAATCCCTGCAGTCCCCTTTGCCGAATCTTGAGCCACACCCAAAGGGTAGGCCAGGGGGACGTGGAAAGGGAAAGAAGCGGAAGCATAGGAAATGACAATCTTTTTCTCGAATTCAATACCGCCGGCGGAAAAATGAAGGAAGAGTCTCGGAGGGAGACGGAAAGGAGTGGTGGCCCGGATGTTCCCCGGTCTGGCGGGGCCCGGGACCACTCGAGGCTCTTGGCTTGCGTCTACCCCGGCCTGGCGGGGAAACGTAGCAGGGGGAGTCTGAGGCATGGGTGCCTCTTTTGAAGTGATTTTTTATGAACGCAGTATTCTGTTCTTTGACCAACTAGGTCTTGCATTGCTGTGAAAAAGGGTGAGCAACCAAGGGAGTCTTTATATATATATATATATAATATATTAAGCATATATATCTATATACTATTGGTATACATATTGTATATTATATATATATATGTATAACTATTCCAGTCCCATAGACGGTCTGGTCCAGTAGAGTGAGTAGAGATCCGGAGAAGATCCGGGCAGCGGGAACCTCGTCGGCACGGGAACGGGCGGTCGTTGAGCGTCCGATCGCTCCGTTCGTAGCGATGCCACTCCGTTTTTAGTTTCTTGTTACTATCCAAAATCTTTCTGAGTCGAGGTTTGCTTGGAACTGGATGACCTGATGCCCATGGGATGCTGGGCTCAACAATTTGGATCAAAACGCAGCGGGAGAGGGCGGTGTGAAGTGGAGTCGACAGAGATCTGACACAGAACCAAGAAGATTATGGGTGTGTATTTGCAATAGGGTGCAATAGGGAGACCCCCAACCATCCTTCCAATCTTTGGGAGGTCTCCCTATTTACAGGCTCAGACCCATATCGACGTGTCTGGAAGGTAGATGCCAAGACCCTTGCGGAGGCCAAGCGCTATCGAGTGTCTCACGCTGTTGCAATGCCGCTGGTGAATACACAACTCCCATTCTCAGATATTCTGAAAAGATCGGGGCCGCGTGGTGGGGGAGTGTGAAAAAACTCAATGGCCTCCAAGTCAGGTATCATCATCTGCAATCAGAGCTCAGGCTGTTGGCACAGCAGATTCAACTCACGAGCTGATGTGGGTGGAGTTGTTGTCAGGAGGAAGATTTTGGCACCACCTGCGACCCTCCCAGGATTCGGGAGATCCTCCAAGTGGTGCTCGATTTCTTCCTTCAACAGTGACATATATTGGATTTCCTCTCACCTGCCGCTAGATGCCCTGCATTGCCCTTCGATGTGAACCGAGCGAGAGGTGAACCCAGCGATTCTTTGGATGGTTGCCTTTGTGTTACCCTTGCTGCCTTTGCGAGTTGGACGGCAGTTTTCTTGAACAGAAAAAAAGATGGACCTGGAACCCATTTGACCTCTGTTTTGATACGAAAAGACCATCTTTGGCGTGGTTGGTGGTCCAAAATCGAGGTCATTCAGGGTCAGACACGCGGGTCGCGTCGGCTACCCCTTAGTCGCGACTTCCAGAGCTTCGTCGAAACTCACGGGGCGACCAGGTGACACGGGCTACCGAATCTACGTCACGCCCCTCTACTACGCCGCTGGGCGGTTTGGGTCGTGGACCGACACGACGTGACACGGGGCGGTGACCGGGTCGTTTCTTTGTCTCTCAGATGTCTTGCAGACGACAAACAAGACTGATCGATCTGCTGGTTGGACCAAAGAACATGTCGACCTGAGACAGACGACCAAAAAGAGGGGATTTCTGCCCGTTTTCGTATTGGAGTATCTTCTGCCAGTCTTTCGGAGGGTTTTGACTCTGCCAGTCGAGACACCGAAGACTTCAGGCCCGGCTTATCTGTCTGATTACACTCTGACTGACCAATGTAGAGTCTTGATGAATAAAACCCCCCTTTGAATTGGACATCCTCTTCGCACATGGAAGTGGAACACCCTCTGTTTGCGAAGGAAAGCAGTCTTCCTTTCGGCGCCATGCGATTCCACGTCACCATGTGATGTGTTCGTCAGTCAGAGTGTATCTGATGTCTGAAGCCGCCTCTAAACCGCGGCGAACAATCCCCGTTCGACGGGCGTTCCTTCGCTCAGTTCGTGGACTGAGGACGACCTGAAACATGCAGGGTGGTGAGTTGGCGGTCGATCTCGCACGGTGCGATGCACGGGTGGTCAACACCCGTGGTCTTTGTCCAACCAAGAGAGGTTGACATCCCATATGTACCACTGGACCACTACAGTGTCACTGCCCACCTTTCGGATACTACCTAGACGCTCCGTGAGTTCACAGCACGACCGGTCCCTCAAAACCTTAGAGATATTGAGACCCCATACCCCTCCATATGGGGGTCCGACCCCTAGCATATGAGGATCCATGGGTTCTCACGGCCGGACAAGTCCCTTGTTGCCTTGATTCACCGGTTTTCCTTCCCGATTTTCAGGTCCAACCCCTCGGTCTGCAGCACGGGTGCCGGCCTCCTCCCTGCCAGGTGACTCCATCAGTGGGAAGCGAACAGTTTCAGCAGCATCTTGGATCAAGCGAGAGAGAGAGAGGGAGCCGGACCCGAGAATTTCCGGGTGAAAGAAATCGGCAGTTGGATCTGGTAGAAAGATGTAGTAAGAACCAGTAGTAGCGTCCTTGCTCCTAGTAGCCAGGCCCTTTGCTCCTAGTAGCTTCTTGTTCCTAGTAGTAATGCCAGGAGCTACTAGGACAAAAAATTGGAACCAGCTTCTATGAGGTTTGGGTCGACTGGTCTCCTTTTTTGGAGTTGAGTTGGCTTCAAAGATTTCGTTCAAAGTCTATCAGTAAGAATCCAAATGGATCAGAAGGGCCAGGGAGCAAGAAGTAGGTTTTGAAGCAAAGAAAGTAAGAGAACATCTTGTGGACTGTCTTCTAAGTTGACTAACACCTCGTTTCAACATGAGGCTGCCCTGGTTGATGGAATGAGGCTTCCCTTGCATGTGGTGTGTGAGTTACGATATGCGACAAACATATCGCTCAAGCGGGTCTGGCGTTGTGCAGCTCCGCGCTCCAGTTGCTGCTGCGTCGGCTGCGCGCGAAAGCGGAACCTGAGAAGTCCCCAGAACTTGGGATTGCTAAAACCTCTTCAGTCCTTGGGGGTTGAACTCCAAGTACTTCCTGAGAAGGTGGAAGGGGTGGATTATGGGGGCTAACTAGCTTCTGAGGTGGGCCAGGAGCCCTAGGGTACAACATGGTACTGTTATAAGCAAGAGTCTACGGATCGAGCTACACACCTAGGATCGAGGTGGCATGCCCTTCGGCCATCTGCACACGCTCGACGGAGATCCGGCTGGGATTACTTCACCAGAGTTGTGGTGATGGCCTCTTGGACGAGGCGACTGTGGGCGACGCATACAGATGGGATGCCATGGTGAAATGGTGCTTTCAAGCGGATTTGAAGCTGGAGGGTCACGGTTTTTACATGTTGTATCCAGGAGTTTCATGTCGGGGTGCTATCCATGGAGGTTAGGGGTGCCCCTGTCACATCCACTCACTGGAAGGGACTAAACACCACCCCGACATGTGACCCCTGGAATATGCCGAACCACCATTGTTTAACTAAGGGTTTTACACAACAAAACCAGGTCGTTCCCAATTTTTTCATGGTCTTGGAAGTCTAAGAATATGCTCTTTTGCCACCAGCTTGGATCTGAGGTCCGGGTTTCTTGGTTGCTTCGTGTCATCTCAGAGATGCTTTATAATGCTCCCAAGATCTAGTTCTTTCCTCCTCCAATTCTTTTGGTTTTATCTTGGTGCTATTATTAACAGTCTCCAGTGAAACAAAGAAAGAAGCACGGACTGAGAAGCTCATCTCTGCAGATTCGGGGTGTTGTTTGGCTCATTTGCTTTGTGAGGATACCCAAACAAACCCCGGACAGTCCAGGTGAGGTGCGTCCGTGCCATCCATTGCGTTGCGGTCGACACTGGTACTTCTGCAGATCCTCTGGAAGTCGAATAGGATTGAAAAACTCATAGTCTTGACCAGCTGGTTTTGGGAAAAGACCATATATATATATATATATGCCTCCTATCACTTGCATGGGCAGCTGTTAACAAATAACACCACCCTTTGGATGGTGCTGGTAGATCTTTCGGTGCGGACTTTCCGCCAGTCCCTGGGCCGTCTCTGGGCGTTTTCCGGTTTGGGTGTCTATCAATCACCTCCTAAATGAGGTACTTCGGGGTGTCCAACAACCACCGGGCGAAAGGAGTTCGGTCCGAAAATTCGCGTCCAACAGCTTCGGGCTTTGGGACACAGCTTCCATCTCTCCGCGTGATGACTGTAACATCTGAGATCCGAACCGAAGCTCGACCCTCTCCGAACTTGGGGCGACGACCAACATCGCGCAGCCGCGATATGATGGGAAATGCAAGATCTGGATGAAGACTGCAGCCCAAACACCATCTACATGATCTATATATATACGTGGAACGCAACAGGTTTTGCTTTCCAAGGTCAAGAATTCAGACATCCACATGGATATGTCGCATGCTTTGTTCTGCTTGTCGTTTCTCGGACTTCTGTTTTCAACAACGGCGTTTGCCCTCACCAGAATCTTCTTCCGACGGAGTCATGGCGCTAAGCACTCCAGATCTACGAATTGCAGCCTCGCGACCATCCATCCATTGAAGTCAATTCGACTGAGCCCAGTAGACTCAGTTCCCATGTATATAACTCTTCTCAACTGCTCTTTGAATCAGGCTTCACATGTCGACGATCGAAGCAAACCTGGCCCAATCCAATCTGCATGAGAAACGCTCCTCGTGCCACAGGTGGAAACGACCTGGGTCCAAGTGGAAGGAGCTGCCGAGGCCAAGGACCGAGCCCGAGCTGCCGTTTCGTCCGCGGTTTGGTCAACGGGTGGAGGGCCCTGGCAGCACCCACCACAGGCCGCTGACGATAGGAGAGTCACTAGTGGACACTCCCGGACACGACCTGTGTGGGACTGGCATATTGACCTATCAAAGGACGCTACGAACGGAGCAAAGGGCATCGCTACGAACGGAGCAAGGACGCTACGTTCGGGGCTCCTGGCCTTAATACTATACGGTCAATTGATCGGCATCTATGTCAGTTCCCACGGAGTGTCTTGCAAGATCGGATTTCTCTTTTTCGTTTCTTGGGGACTTCAAGCCTGCAAACTCATGGAACTGCCGAGTCTATACCCTATATAGCCTTCAAAGACGCTTCAACAAATGAGTGACCTGTAGTCTCAAAGTCCAAAGGCCTCCGGTAAAACCCATGAAGCCAATGGTGCGCCAATGGTGCGCCAGGAATCACATCATAAGGAGTTCTGATGTCCATTTGCTCCCATTCACCTAACCACCTCGGGACTCATCGGGAAGGACACCACAAGGCAGTGGCAAGTGTCGGGATTTCGATCCAAAGATGCTCATGGCCCCGACCAAAAAGAACGGCCGTCGACATGTTGGATCAGCCATGATCAGCCCGATGTTTTTGGACGGTGGGAACCCGAGGTTCAGCATGGCATCCTTGAAAGCAGCCTTTTGCGAAGGAAAAAACACCTTGCCCACCCAAGAAGATTCTCCTTTGAGGTGATCCGGGGTGGTTCCTCGTTATTAGGTTGGAGGCCATCGCTCTTGGGTTGGAGGCCATCGCTCTTGGGTTGGAGGCCATCGCTCTTGGGTTGGAGGCCATCGCTCTTGGGCTGGAGGCCATCGCTCTTGGGTTGGAGGCCATTGCCCAGTGTTCAGACCGAACGCCCTCGCTTCGACAAAGGACCTGCGCCCTTCCCGGCTCCGCGGCGGCTTGGATGCCGCGGTGCTCTCGGCGGGACGAGGCGATGGAGGGAGAGCTTCTCGAGAGACGGCTTTTTTGGCGTTTAACTTCAATCGAAAGGCTCCCGAAAACCTCTCTAAGTCTCGATGTTCTATTTTTGTTAAACACTCCGTTGCCATGCCACTGGCCACGCCACTGGCCACGTCACTGGCCACGCTGGTCTTGTGCCCAAACAAGGCGGTCGGAACCTGTCAGTAGAGCCCAAAGATGTGCAGATCACGTCGCAACCTGTGAAAACAGACCCTGACCCCTCAGGACTGGGTTCACTCAAACTGAGGTTTTGAAGCCATCCATGGTGAAAGCTCTTCGCATGGACAGATATGGGGGATGATGGGGGTTTTATGCATCAACAGTCTGCATTGTCCACATGAATCCATATCAACTTCATCAACCCTTTGAGTACCTCTTCCTCCTCCGCGTCGCGTCTTCGTCCCGCATGGGGTACGACGTCCCTGACGTCGGTAGGCCGTGGTGCCTACTTCTTTGTTGTCGATACGCGGGACCTCGAGGCGGCGGGTGACGGCACCAACTTGTGATGGCAATGAATAGGCCTTCCCAAACGGCCGCCGGGTCGGTTCGTTTGTTTGATTTACTGTTTCGAATGCCGAACAAGGATGATTTTATAATTCAGGGTTTTAGACTCCAAAACCAGGTCAGCCATTCCTCAAATTGGTCTTGGTATGTCTTGATAGGCTAGGGGCTAGGGCTTTCCATGTCTGGTAGGGCATTACGGTCTGGGTTGGCATTTCGCAGGCGTTCCCTGGTTGTGGGTGTCCCTGGTCCCTTGCCAGTCGGCTCAGCTCATTGGTTCCCTTGTTCCCATGTTGCCTTGAAATATTGTTGTGTGCTCTCTTGTTCCCTTGCTCTGTTGCTCCCTTGGTCCCCTCATCTTTGTCCCAAACATCTCTCCTGGTCGCTAGATCCCTAGACCCTTTTGGCTCCTTGGTCCTCTAGTCCGCTGGTTCCTTGGTGTGTGGTCTCCTGGGTTCCGTCTCTCCCTAATCCTGGTCCCTAAAAACAAGCTCAGCCGCTTTTCTGGGTTTCAAGGAAAGTAAGATGAGGAAGGTCTATTCTCCTGAAGCACTGTTTGTGGACGCCTATCGAGGATGCGTGTTCTTCGGGTGATTTTCTAAACCTCTTTTGTGGCAGTTTTGGCAGATATAGAGGCATGTGAAGGGAAATGAAGCAATGAAAAGACATGCAATGAAAGCAACAAGAACAAGAAAGGAACGATTATGAAGGAATGGCAGGACGATGATGGTGGAATGCATCTCGACTATGCCTGGAGTGCTTTCCTCTTCGGACTTGGTGGCCACTTTCGTGGCAGCTGCAGCGGACATTTTCTCTGGGACTTGAATTCGATGTCCGTGGACCACGTGGCGGCAAGTCAGATCTCGTGGCAAGTCAAGTGCAGCACTTTTTCTTGAAGCTCCAAGTCCGACCTTTGGGAAGGCACTCCCTAGTAGCGTGGGCGGCTTATTGGCGTGGCTATTTCGGAGACATTCATGCCATTTCGTGGCAGCCACGCAGCACTTTGGGATGCTTGGAGGGCTGCTGCGCGATGCGTTTCTTGATGTTCAGATCTCGTGGTAGCCGCAGTGCTTTGTGCTCTCCAACTGGGATATTCTTTGATAGACATATTTTTTTAAAAAATAGTATAGTATATTATAATAGTATAACAAAAAAAATATGTTCTTGATGTAAATCAATCTCTTTTGATATTCCACTGGGGTGGGTTTGGAAGGTCCCTTGGGACCCATTGGACCCCTAGGGTTCGCATTTTTCGGGGGGAAAGCCCACAGCTCTGGCGCTTTCCTTGCTCGAGACAGGTGGATCAGAACTACCGCGTTTGCATCGACATTGACGGCGTTTCTGGTGATGCATCTTGGTGCAAAGGCCAAGCTGCTGACGATGTGAATGAAGGTGGAAGTGGAATGGAACCAGTTCTGGTTTCCTGGAAGATGACTCCCAGCTTTTAGTCACTCCTGGATTTCCACGGTTGAAACAATATGCCTGACCTTTATTATGTTTCATTATTTTCTTTGCTACCCAGTCACATGGACGGGTTTTCATCTGCTGAGGTGGAGACATAGTTCTTTGTGCCTATGAATTGGACACGCACGGCGCGTTTGAACAATTTTTTGGAGTGTGCAAAATCAACATGCGGCCACCTGTGGGGACACCAGGCCACCACGCAGCTGTGAGATTCCGGTTTCAACGGCCACAGGGGCTGAAACAGAGGCAAGATCGGCGCTGGACACCATCCAAGAGATCCTTTTCAGGAAGCTCCGTCTTCGAAGACCCAGATGTGTCACCCGCAAAAAAACAGGATGGCATTGAGGCCGCTCAAAATCAGAGGCCTCCGACCTGGAGGCCCTTATTTGTTTTCAGGGGCTCATGGGGCTCATGGGCAGTTTGAGGTCCATCGACCACACCTGAAGGTTGGCAACCTGTTGCAATATGCCTCAACGTATCTTTGAACCGCAGCTATGGTCACCGACATGTTTGAAAGCATTGTCCTCACGTTTGTGGGGTTCCCGTGCCTGGTGTGAACGAAACACATTACGTTTAAATCCAGTGAACTCGCCAAAAAAAAAGCCTCAGCCCTCCCTCCCAAGGGCCCAAGGCCCCTCCGACTCCTCCTACCTCTACTCGTTGCCCATCTGAGGTGTACCAACCGGGGGATGCCGGGTATTTGGTGTGGAAACCCGACACGACGGCCACTTGGTGGACCGAACCGACCCGCAGAGGGCCGCCAGTTTGTTCGACCGCCGCCGCAGACGCAGACCTTGGAGCGGCGGCGGACAGGGAAGGGACACCGAAGGACGCTGCCCTCTGGTCTCATCGGAATGCCTTTCGGGTGCAAGTGGTTTTTTCCTCATTTTGGTCAAGAGAACATGAGTCAACTTGATGGCCACATGTTCCCAAGGCTGGAAGAGCAGTAATTCAAGAGGCTTTACGAAACCAGAGTCAACCAATATTGGTTTATATCATGGTCTTGGAAGTCTAGGGTGTTTGATTCTATTGATTTTCCATGCGAGTTTGTGGCATGGTAGAGATCTGACATGCTTTGACCTCACTTGTGAGGCTTCGTTCGGTCCACCATTCCAGGTCCGGAACAATTGCAAGCCTTTAAGACTTCTACCTGGACACTCCAACGGGTCACCACCGACTTTTAAAATCAAAAGCCTCCATTTCGGAGACCTCCATTTCTTTTTTTCAATGCTGATGTATTGCATCTGGTGCACTGTGCACTCTTTGAATGGTGTACGTAGCCTTTCAGACCTTTGGCATCATTGGCGTCCAAGTCGATGTGTGACACCGCGTCTTGAACACCCTTCGACCGGGCAGCGCGACGGGTGGACCTGCGTCGACGCGGGCGCCTTTCAACCTGGTGCCTTTCAGCATGGGCTCGGCGCGGGGGTCTTCGTGCGGCGGACGTTGGTGCGATTTTTTTCGTTCACAAACCTCACGTGCACCACGGGACTCGGGTTCGAGGGTTGGACGAGACGGGAAGACTCAGGGAGGGCCTGGAATGTTCTCACCCTTTCTGAGTCGACCCACATGACAGCCTGGCTGGAAAGGGTCCTGGACTCCGGACGATCTGAGCTCTCTGGGATTGAGAAGGAGGTTCTAAGAGCTGATGGCCCCCAACTTTTGACCAGGCTCTGTCCCTCAGTTGCGCCCTTCGTCTTCGAACATCAGGCCCCCTTCGTCTTCGGCAACGGCACCTTCAATGGGACTTTGGAGTGGAACGTCACGGAGGCTCCCTGTGACCAGCACGTTTTGGTCCTGACTGACTGGATGTTGTGGCTTAAAAAGTTAATATAAACCAAAGCCCCATGGACCCGGAGCTTCTGGGTGATGTTTGTTAATGTAGACTCTTAGATGAACACCCACCCTCACTTTGAATTGAACATCCTCTTCATATGGGGGGTTTATTAATCAAGGGTCTACATTAATGGGTTTTGGCGTGTACCTTCTGTGGAGGCACTTGTTCAGTCCTCTTTCTAAGCAATCTAAACACTTCGAAGCCCATTGGCCGATGGATGGCCTTGAAGCCGCGCTCAAACGCAGGCCTCCAAGCGAACCACCACAGGTGGTCCATCAAAAGACATCAAAAGCACTGCACCAAGAGCACCCGATGATTTTTTTGCCCGCCCTTCAACAAGAAACTATATATATAATATGTATACATATCATATATATATATATACATATCATAGTATTGCATAAGAAAAAACACTTGTCAGGTCCAAGAATCCTATCCAAACCCGCCTTGTGACCTGGAAAGGAAGCAGCTTGTGAGGGACCAGTTCTGCGAGAGCCTATAGAATTACAGAAACCAGCGCTGTGAAAGTATGCGTTTTCCACTGTTTCCTGCAACTGCTCTTTTTTAAAATAGACTTTTGCATTAACTATGCCAAGTCAAAGCGTGCTTCCTGCAAAGGTTTGGGGTAGACCAAAAATATAAACAATATCAAGCATGAAAAACAACATGTAGAGCAATAGTTGCCCCAAATAGCAAAAATACCAATCCTGTAGGGGAATAGTTGGCCCCTTATGCCCAAGTATTTCCGCCAGACCTTTGGTATTTTTTGGGGAACTATTTCTCTACCGGATTGGTATGTTTGGCATTTTTGTTATTTTTGGTATTTTCCTGAGCGTGAGGGCCCAACTACAATCTGTGAGAAGGGTCTTGAATTCATACTCCTTCATGTTTGCCGGTTTGGCTATGGGGATGTCAGAATCTTTCATAATACAAATCATTCAGAACGTAGAACATATATTATACTGTTTTGAAAGGACATTTTTCTTGCTGGGGTACAGCAAGATTGGAACAGGTAGCATTTCAACCCCCATACGCGGTTAATTAGTAATATTGTGGCGTTTAATTTGCATCCGTTCCTGCTTTGGACAATCTTTGCCCAGCAATACTCTGTGATTTGAGTCTACATCCTCAATAGCACTTATGAAAACATAATAGACAACATCGAAACAACCATGATTGATGATAATGTGTATCTATATAATTGTGAGAAACACGAGGTGTTGTTCACCTTCTTGGATAAGTGCAACATTACAGTTCAATACATAACAAAATACCAAGGACAATATTTAAGGGCTGCCGCCCCTGCCGCCGACCCCGGGATATACACCAACAACAGCAATCACAGCAGCAGTAGTAAGAAGAAGACCCAGAAGCATCACAAGATCAGAAAAACCACTAGCAACAGGCAGCAAGAAGCATAGTAGGAATGCCTCTGTTCTGGCTGTGCTAATAGACTGGCGGCTGTTTGCGGGGGCTTTGTTGGACAGCCCAGGTGCTGAGCCAGCAAGGCTTGTGCTGCGGCAGCCCTGGTGCTGACCGTAGCACTTCCTGTGGACGGCCGCAGGTCTATCTGCGTGGCTGGAGAATGGCAAGCAGAAGAAGAAGAAGAAGAAGAGGCAGAAGAAGAAGAAGAAGAAGAAGAAGAAGAAGAAGAAGAAGAAGAAAAAGAAGAAAGCGAAGTAGCAATGCCTCTGTTCTGGCTGTGCTAATAGACTGGCAGCTGTTTGCGGGGGCCTTGTTGGACAGCCCAGGTGCTGAGGCAGCAAGGCTTGTGCTGCGGCAGCCCTGGTGCTGACCGTAGCACTTCCTGTGGACGGCCGCAGGTCTATCTGCGTGGCTGGAGAATGGCAAGCAGAAGAAGAAGAAGCAGAAGAATAAGAAGAAGAAGAAGAAGAAGAAGAAAAGAAGTAGCAATGCCTCTGTTCTGGCTGTGCTAATAGACTGGCAGCTGTTTGCGGGGGCTTTGTTGGACAGCCCAGGAGCTAATTCTGGTCCAAAACGAGCCTGCCATGGTCGCACTTTGGCTGCCTAACGCCGCCTCTGAATCCCTAGAAAAAAAGAAGTTTGTGTCCACTTGTCTCGGTCATCTTGGCCCCGAACACCTGGTCCCGCCACAGCTTTTCCCAATCTAATTCTGGTCCAAAACGAGCCTCCCATGGTCGCACTTTGGCTGCCTAACGCCGCCTCTGAATCCCTAGAAAAAAAGAAGTTTGTGTCCATTTGTCTCGGTCATCTTGGCCCCGAACACCTGGTCCCGCCACAGCTTTTCCCAATCTAATTCTGGTCCAAAACAAGCCTCCCACGGTCGCACTTTGGGTGCCAGACGCCGCGTCTGAATGTCCCGCCACGGCTTTTCCCAATCTAATTCTGGTCCAAAACGAGCCTCCCATGGTCGCACTTTGGGTGCCTAACGCCGCCTCTGAATCCCTAGAAAAAAAGAAGTTTGTTTCCATTTGTCTCGGTCATCGTGGCCCCGAACATCCAAAACGAGCCTCCCATGGTCGCACTTTGGGTGCCAAACGCCGCCTCTGAATCCCTAGACCTAGAAAAAGACAAGTTTGTTTCCATTTGTCTCGGTCATCCTGGCCCCGAACACCTGGTCCCGCCACGGCTTTTCCCAATCTAATTCTAGTCCAAAACGAGCCTCCCATGGTCGCACTTTGGGTGCCTAACGCCGCCTCTGAATCCCTAGAAAAAAAAA